CAGAATACTGCCCTTGTCACATTGAGTCAGAACCGCTTCACTTCCAGTGCCGATCAAGAGACTTGCGCGCGCCTTTTCGTAGCGACTAGGCCTTTAATGCCTGCATTCTCATGTCCGTGGGACAGACTTACCAGCCAGCGGAGAGCACGGGATCTCAGACATCTTTACGAGCATCGTGGCAACTGGGTGCTGCTAATGTTCGTTTTTTTTTTGGCTGGGCGAGGGGTGGCTTGCAGTTTGGGGGACGTTTGGCTCCAGGCACTTTACGTTTATGTCAGTTAATGTTGGAGATTGAATAGACGATAAGCAAGGAATGCAACTTACGCGACGGATGAGGTATACGCTGGAGGGTGTCTATCTTCAAGGTGAAGGTGAAGAACAGCTTCCGCGGCGGCTTGATGCTGAGGTTTCTGGGGATGTGATGAGAAGGGATGTGATGGGAAGGGACCTCGACGCTGTGACAGGTGAGGATTGGTGGAGGGAAGTCTCCGTTGGTGGCCACCTGACGGGCAGGAGGTATTTGTTGGCTAACTGTGCTTTGGCGCCGGTTCGCTATGCTGCCCATCAGTCATTTACTAGCACTCTTACAATATGATACGGGGGTATTCATCTTGTTTATCAACATACCTTCCAAAAATTGACTTCATCCCAACTCCTGTACTTCCCACTCTTGCGTCATTCGTCATACCATGAAAGTTACCTCTGCCGGGTTGGTGCCTAGTGGCAAGAGGCGAAAGTTACAATTTTGTGTAAAACTACGGCAAACAAGCGGTCCTTAAAACCCCTCCTTCTCCTTAATTTTTCCCCTCTCCGCTTCCTTCCTCTCTCACCTTTTCCCTCTCACAACACTCCAGCCCGTCAAGGTCCTTGTCCACCCCCGCCATTGCGAACACTCATCTACAGCACAACACCAACCCTTCCTCCCTCTCGGCCTATCTGCCCGGGTCTTATTAACACCTTCGTCTCTCAGTTGCTATCGCGTAAGTACCTGTGGTCGCGCTTCCCCTCTGGAAACAGGACAACTTTTCTAACAATGAAGAGTGAGCCAGAAGTCAAGCCGTTTTGAACGCCCAAGATGTACACCGCAAAGGAGAACAGAGCAAAGGAGATGCTCGCCTCGGCCGACGCCAAGATGAGCAGCAACGACGCCACACCTGAGGCAATCAAGCTCGTTCCTATCCCCGAGCCCAAGGAGGATCTTTCGAACTTCGATCACTGGCTTCATGCTGTTGGATTTCATCTCGAGTTCTACGGTCTGGATGACTTGGTTTCCAGCATGAAGAGTGAGTATCGGGAGGGTCCCTTGCCCGCGCATTTCAAGACCGCCGCCGACTGGCACCGCTGGCATCGCCACTGCCTGCACGCCTACTCAATCATCTACTCTCAGGCGACCAAGGTGATTGAGCAGGGCTCCATGTTTCTGACCGGATTCAACGCCCAGCCCAACTACTGCCCCCATAAACTTCTGATGATGATCAAGAAGTACAAGGAGTCCAAGATTCGCTTCACCGCCTGATTCGTTCACCAGAGCTTCCTTCATCAAATGCAAATTCCCAGATCTAGCCAAAACAGTCGACAATCAAGCATTCTAGCACCGAGATCTATTTGCATTCAGGCAACATAGCAGTCACGGCGTTCTCAATTCTCATTTCCTTTCAGTCATTCGTCAGATTGTGGTCAGGAGGTTCAGGTCAGCACTGAGCTCCCAGAAGTTTCGTTCGACAATTGGCGGTCACCTGCGGAGGAGCATGACACTGATGGCAACATGAACGACATTGATGGTGTTGGAGGTAACGGAATGATACACCACAAGTGGCATTGAGTGTGGGAGTGAATGTTTTTGTGTATTGATTAGGTTAAAAGAGAGAGAGAGAAAAGAACAGGGAGGACGGAGTCCGACGTGGTTTATATACAGGGTAGCTATGTGTGGATCGTATCCACTTAGACAGAAACGCCAAGGAATGTGATGGCTTCAACAGATGGAAGGATGCATTGACTGGCTGGACCAAGAAAAATGCCTTCATCTTGATGGTTACCTTCTAGGGAGTGAGCTAAAGGCGGTTTCTTTTGGAAGGACTATGGAAGGGTAAAAGCACGTAGTGGTCACAGTCACAGATAGCTCCTTCTTAAGTTAAATGAGACCTTCACTGGATGTTGCTACAATTTTCTCCATGAACAACAATATGAACTACGTCTCCTCGCTTCCAGTCCCTTGATTTTACACACCCCATTCTTTCACACGTATGTCCAACTTCTGCCCCTATGAACTCCTCACAATAACTTGGGCGTATAAGGAGTACGAAGCTCCCTGCTACAATCCCGCTGAGATGGGAAAGCCGGCTGCCTATATCGTCCGTCACTCAACATTATAGGTACCGTGGCCAGCCGGGAATCCTACCACCAAATTCACACAGTTCCTTGTTGTCTAGGTCGAGCATCCATCGTATCAACGCCGCAATCCGATGGCTAGCCTGGTTCACTCGCGCCTACGGTCAGAAAGAGGCGCCTTTGTACCCAAGTTGAGTCTGGGTTTGACAGGAAAGACGAATGTGGTGCCAGATTTTATGGATGTTATTCCAAAGTTTGGCAGGGTCAAAGTGAAAGTCTTCCAACGTGTCGTGGAACAGCTCTCTGTTCATGGCCGTTTTGAAAGTGTTGTGGATACCCACTACCTTGGCCGCAATAATGGAGTAGGCGTGCATGGAGCGCAGGCTAAGAAACGCACGCTCTACGTCACTAGATGGAAGGCTTCGGCTTTTCCCAGAGATTACCTTATTGATAAAGTCCGTCAACTTGTGGTAACTGAGGTAAAGAGAGAAATTAGGGCCATACATATAGTGCCCTACATTCACAAACATCCTATATATAACCCCAATCCCGCCAAACCTAGTCCAAACTCCAGCGTGCTAGCGGGATGTGAAATCTCCGTTTTTGCCGCCAAAATTTTCAAGATTCGGGAATGAAAGCGACGGCTTCCAAATCCCACTACCATAGCCTCAAAACCGTCCAGATACTGACCAACATTGCCGCCCGTTACCTCGTTACCTCTACCTATAAGCTCCGACAAAAAGTTGGTAACAACGGCAACAACGGCAACAACGGCGACAACGGCGACAACGACTACAACTACTTAACGATAACGATAACAAAAATAATCCGGCCCAATAGAAAGATTGAATTTAAATTCAAAATAATGAACGGTTGAAGCACAAGGAACAACGCGGCCTTACATTCTAAAACGATAGCTTTCTTTCGGCCAGCTGTCAAGTGGAGAATACGTGTGTTTGTAGGAGGTAATTTGTGTGGCCCTAGTTTTTCTCGAGGTAAAACCGCACGGCATGGGACCACTGCTAAAAGTTTGAAAAATCACCCCTGAGCTCCGGGATTGCATTGAGCTTCAAGGAGTGTACTGGGCTAGACAACGGAGGAAGGTCGGCCATGACGTGAATGATCGCGTCAGGGCTTTCTGTCCACCCCCGCAATCGTCTAAGCACGACACGAAGCCTCACCTCTCCTCAGCCCAGCTGAATCTTTGATCAACGTGTTCATTTCTCACACGCTATCGCGTAAGTGCCTGTCACGTCCACCACTCTGGAAAACAGTTTCAGTACAATGAAAGGTGACGTAGAGGTAGGATTGCTCGGAACGCCGAGATGGACGAGTACATCACTGAGTAGAGAGGTATGCTTATCTAGGCGGATGTGACAAGGGCAGAGTTCTGGGCTTGGAACAGTAGTTCAATTCAGCTAATAAACTACTTTGGTCTCGAAGGCCTTGTTGATCCTCTCAACCTCTAGGGGAAGGCTGGGCTTCAAGGCCTTCTTATGCCAAAGGAAACGGTACGTATCCAGTACGTACGGGTCCTTGTAACCTGAGGCTCCAAGGCACTTAGCGATCTGCATACATGTAGGTCTTTCTCGTATGACAGCGGATGCCAAGATGAACAGCAGCGACACCACCTCTAACGCGGTCAAGCTCTTACACGGGCATGCAATGCAACTGAGAAGAGAACCCCGAAAAAATGTATCGTTCATCAGAAGAGGCAGTCAAAGAACGCCCCAAACCTGTTGAAAATTACGCGTCCTGGGTCGCGTTCGTTCCAGCAGTCAGTTTAGTAAGAGAAGCTCTTGTATCTCTGGCCCAAGTCGTTTATGCCACCAAATAAAGGCTTTTGTCATTGTACCAAGAGACATTGATATCAAGATATTTCAAGATGAGCATTGCAACAAGGAACAAAGTCCTTTCTTTCATAGTGGAAGAAGACGTTCAAATTTCGGTAATCAGAGATACCTCAAGGTACCACTATCCACGAATTAACCAGAGATTCTTCTTTCCAAGCCTTTTGTGTGTGACGAACCGTTACAAGCACAGGAGTATTATCGCTGTGATAGAACAATAGAGTAACGGAGTAGTAGCCGAAAGGTACTGGTAGATTTTGATAGCTATTGCTTGCTGAAGAACCGGTAACAACAGGCCGGGGAAGGCCTTCTTTTATACCGGTCTTCATGGACCCGATATACTGGACCCGTGGACCCGGGCTTAGGACCCGGGGCTTCGGGTCCAATCTGATTGGTCGGCTAGTCTAGTCTCCATGATTGGATTGTAACATTGTGATTGTGATTCTGTCTCCCATGGACGAAGTTCTTGACAGTTCCCTAAGGCTCTGTTTCCATGGCAGAAATGACAGAGAACAAGGAACATACAGGTACAGCTACTTGGTTCGTCAGAACTCCTCCAAACACTACCTCGTAAAGTCTTGTATCAACCAACATCCGTTGCCACAAAAGACGATACACGCAATGCGCTAATGAACACAACGATTGTGTACCCGCTCGTATTCCCAGAATGCCGGCAAGTGGAGGTTGGTGAGTTCCACCAGGTGCAAGAAACCTAGGTGTACGCAGCTGGAAGGCGGAACTTGTGGTAGTTCAGAAGCATCAGCCAAAGTGCCTTGGGATCAAGCTGGACATCATCGCGGCGAAGCTTGACGCCGAAATATTGCTCGGCAAACGGGATAACGTCCTTGGCCGTCGATTAGATATGAGAGTACGCCATCAGGCGGTGGCGACGCTCATCCAGGGACATGACTGGCGCAGCAACGGGGACAGGGGCGGCATGGACGACAACGGCGCCGGCGGGAAGGCCGTTGACTTCCTCTCCCTTGACAACAACCTCGTTCTCCCGAACGAGAGAGTCAAGACTGTGATAGCTGAGATGGAACCAGACAGCCATCTTCCAGTCATCAAAGTTCAATAAGTCCCTGGAGAGCGCCGGAATGAGGACCAGCCTGAGCGCAAGGGTTATTATGACGAACCGTTACAAGCACAGGAGTATTGTCGCTGGGATAGAACAATAGAGTAACAGAGTAGTAGCCGAAAGGTACTGGTAGATTGTGATAGCTATTGCTTGCTGAAGAGTCTTATAAACGAAGGCCGGGAGGCCTTTTTTTATACTGCTCTTCCCTGGACCCGGTGTACCGGACCCGGGGACCCGAAACCTTCGGGCCTTCAGGTCCAACCTGATTGGTCTATCTATCTAGCTAGCTTACACAACTTTGGTTGGATCGTAACAGTTGTGTCCATGGGGGCGGCGGGATTCATCGTATGGGTGGGATCAAGGCTAGAGGTTCTCTTCCGTTCCATCGGTCTGTTGAGGAATAGCTGAGGACTGGTCAGCTCTGGAGACAAAGGGCAAAGGCAGAGTGGGAGAAGGTAGGTGGCTTACGCGACAAGCGAATTTAGAAGCCGGACAAATACTGTTCTTCAACTTGAAGGCGGAAAGCTTGCTGGTGCAGGCGGCTTGATGGCAGAAATCCCCAAAGACTTGAGGGGTGAGGAGCGCCCTTAATGCGGTGAAAGTTTGGATTGCGAAAACAGAGGAAGTGTGTGGTCGGGGCGACCATTAACAACCTGCTACCTACCTTCTACCTGCTTCCAAGTCGGTTCACTTGCACTTCTGTCCGGGGTTCCTACCCTGCTGGTAGGCTGCCCTGGACTCTGGTTCTCCTCCAGTCCCCTGTCAAGCCGTGTCCGCTCCACATACCCATTTGACCAATTTTATGGAGACATCAAGTCTGAGGGGAATGAGTCTTCAGGCAGAGAAATGGAAAGAAGGAAGGTTCTGTTGGCATAATAAGGAAGGCCAGACTACCATTCTATTCAGCGGCGTTGGAAACGGCGAAACCTCCGCTAAAGCCCAAATCCAATGCAAATCTCAAGGAACCAGTTCACTCATTACCGCATCCGGATCCTGTTGCTCAGCACCCGCCACTACTGTTGGAGGTAACGGAATGATA